TACAATTAAATGCAAATAAATTATTTTATGCCAAGTTAATTGCAAACTACATACTTTTCATTTCATAACATTAAGATCAACTAACAGCTGAGTTTTCACAATGTATTGAAAATAAATTTTAAAAAAACTTACCTGCACTAATGTGAAGGGTGAAAAAGGTAGCTGGAGCTGAAGTCTCTGCTCGGCAGCCGGGAGGGGAAGAGAAACACACTTCACGCTGGAAGCCCGGCCCTGACGTCACCACCCTCTGTCGCTCCCAGTGCGGCGCAGTCACCCATGCGCACTGATCTCAAGCAGAAGACTGTCTGCCACAGAAGGGAGGGCCGTGCGACAGCCGCATTTACACAGACCAGGGAGAACGCGCCGCAGTCAGGCATGCGCACTGCCCTCTGCTCTCAAGCAGAAGACTGTCTGCCATAGAAGGGAGGGCCGTGGTAGGGCCACATTACACAGAGCAGGGAGGGCTGTTGGAGGGCCGTATTAAACCGACCCCCGGGCCGTAAATGGCCCGCGGGCCGGACTTTGGACATGCCTGCTATATGGTTTCCTCGGTTCTCTGGAGCAGCATTCTGGTTGGATCATGGGTGCTGGGTGTAGATTGCTCTGACAGGCCAGTCCCTGATGAGTGGTACCTGCTGCCCCTTGAGTTGTAGCCCCCGCTCCCTGTGAGCCCGGAAGATGTTGGCCCCAGCCCTCAACTTATGGACAGTTCAGAAATTGTGGCCCCACAGGATGCATGTTCCGGTGAACCCAAGGACTCAGCCGACATTCCAGTCTCTTGCCCAGAGGGAGGGAATGCAGCTGGCTCTGTTGACCCACAATCCTATGAGGGCACAGACGCCCCTGTAAAAGATGAGGACTTTTACTATTCCCCCACAGAAGACGGTGGGGGTCTCCGACCGAATATGTCTAATCGAGGATAATTACCTGCAAAGTATTCTGATTATGTTGTTTAACATTTTCTGGTATTGATATTTGCATTTTTACTGTTTTACATTCTTCTGTTTTATTTGAAGCAGAGTACAGCATCTGTCAAAGGGGGGAGGAGTGCAGATAGGTGCAGCCGGCACAGGTGGCACTCAACAGGAGCAGTGCTGCAGCTGGAGAGGAAGTCAAGAGAAACTTGGTTTCTCTATAGTTTCCTCGGTCTCCTGAAGCAGAGTTCCGGTTGGCAACGTTGCATCCGGGTGACCCTGGTGGCCATCTTGGGTCAAGCAGAGTCTTTTTTTAAATCCCTGCCCCCAGGTTTTGGCGCACATTTTGCAAAGTGTCTAGGATAGGGAAAGCATATCCGCCTGTCAGGGAGAGCACTAGCTGTAGGGAGAGATTTTGTAGGAGTAGGGAAAGAGCAGGGCCTGTGTATACACTTCTGCTAGCTCTCTCTTGGCCACACCACATTCCACCTCCCTTGGCAAGCGCTGTCTTCAGTTCAGGCCTACTACCGCTGACTCTCTGTTGCATTGACTTTGAGTTCCCGGACGGATGACCTCCCCATCGGGCTGCTGTACTGTTTTGCAAGTTCTTCCATACACTAGTTTCTGCATTCCGGGCCTCAGTTTGATTACTGGCACTGCACCATGGTGCACCTAACCCACATACACATATAGATTTTTTTACAGACTGAACAGAAAAAAATCTAACAGATTCCTCCAACCACACTACAGAGTGGAGATGGACAGATCTCTTGCTGAGACTATTGCATTTTGACAGAAAAGCGGCTACAGCTGAATGGATGCAGCCATTGTTCAGCAATCATTTTTTTGCTTGTTTCCTTCAATTTTTCATTCAAGAAATGTCAAGTGTTAGGAGGTTGACAATTTTGGTAGTATAATTTTTAATGTGGAATGCAAGTTCTTTTGTTAAAGAACATGAATTGTTTTCACACTGTTATGGGTGAAATTTTGCTTTAAAAATCATTAAAACTAAGTCTTACAGAAATAGCAGAAAGGAGAAATGAAAAAAGTAATCTCCTTCCTGTGGCCCCAACTGTCAAGAGCAGCATTGTGGTGGCTGTCAGCAAAATATAACATTTTAAAGTTGAACTTAAGTCTTCCCTTCAGTCCTTCAGGCTCCTTTTCGGTACTAAAATTGCTTATTCTAAGCTTCTCTTAGTGTGCATTAGAGGCCGCAGCAAGTCAGAAAGAGCCCACCTCATTACCTGGCTGGAGATAGTCCTGCAAAATGTAATCTGCTCCACTCTATTAAACAATAAACATTCAATGCCCTATACTGGGGCCCGTTAACTGGACACACAAACAGTTAATTTAACCACTTCTGGACTTTCGGCAGCTGCAGGCATCACCCCGGTACTGTCTTTTTACAGCTGGTGGTTGGCTCTCTTGTGCAAACAATTGGGGCGACTACTAGCCGCTCAATTGCTTGTATAAGCAGTGGCAGGGGATACCCCCCACTGCCTCCTGCCGCTCTCTCGGGATCTCCTGTTCCACCAGGAGTCCTGAGAGACCATCCAGCACTTCTGCCGGCTGGCCGGACAGTCGAACAAAACCGGAATCGGCTTTGATCGATTCTCCTTTATTGTAAACCGGAAGCAATGACCTGACATCACTCCCTCCATAAAAATACTGTTACGTGTCTATTGCTTTCACGGGAAGTTTACATTCCTTGTGACAGCAATAAAAAAAAAATTTTAAAAAAAATTAAAGTGACAGCGTAAAAATAGAAGAAAATAAAAATATAAATAATTAAAAAAAAAAAAAGAGAGAAAGTGCCCCCGTCCCCTCACAAGATGAACACCCGCGTCAGTCCCGCCCGCGCACACAAACAGCGATCATCCCACACATGTGAGGTCTTGCCGTGATTGTCATGAGCAGTAATTCTAACACTAGACCTCCTCTGTAAATCTAAAGTGCTACCCTGTAAAGACTTTTAAAGTGTTGCCTATGGATAGTAAAATGTACTCCGTCGCAGGTACACAGGTGTGCGCAAGTTTAACCACTTGCCCTCCAGAGGATTTACCCCCTTTCCTGACCAGGCCATTTTTTGCGTTACGGCGCAGCGTTACTTTAACTGACAATTGAGGGGTCAAGCAACGCTGCACCCAAATTAAATTTACGTCCTTTTTCTCCCACAAATTGAGCTTTCTTTCAGTGGTATTTGATTGCTTGTGCATTTTTTATTTTTTTTGCTATGAAAAAAAAGACCGACAATTTTGAGAAAAAAACAAATTTTTTTGTTATTATACATGTCCAGTAAAAAAATTTAAAAAATCATATTTCATCATAAATTTACGCCAAAATGTATTCTGCTAAATGTCTTTGCTAAAAAAAATCCCAATACATGTAAATTAATCAGTTTCCATGAAAGTTATAGCGTTTACAAATGGTGGTATATAAACTGGGATTTTTTTTTTTTTTTTACTAGTAATGGTGGTGATCAGCAACTTATAGCGGGACTGCGGTGGACATTCTGACACTGGGGGGAACTGACTTGGTGTCACTCACATCCCCAGTGACACAAATACAGTGATCAGTGCTAAAAAAAAAAAAAAGCACTGACACTGTACTAATGGCACTGGGCAGGAAGGCGGTTAACATGAGGGGCAATCAAAGGGTTAACTGTGTGCTGGGAGTGTTTTACTAGGCGGTGTTCTTCACTGTAAACACACTGCTTTGGATGGCTGTGCTATGCACAGCCATCCAAAGCAGTGTGCCCAAGCTGACACGGAGGAGAGCTGTTAGTAAACAAAACAGTTCTCCTTCCCGTCGTAGATCCTCGGAAATCCCCGGGCGCCGGCGAGTAATCACTGTCCCGGACCCAGTGATTGACTGCGGGCACCCCCTACCCAGAAATACAAAATCACGTATAGATACGTGATGTTGCGCTCCAGTGCTGCCCTGTAGCAGTATTTCTGCTATAGGGCAGTCGGGAAGCAGTTAAAGCGTGACATGTTTGGTATCTATTTACTTGGTATAACATCATATTTTTTATTTGACAAAACATGAGATGAGTTATGTATTGTGTTTTTTTGCAATAAAATTTTAAAACGTGTATCCCCCCCCCCAAAAAAAAAAAAAATATGCTCTAGGGCCTCTGCTTTAAAAAAAATAATAGTTGGGGGTTCTAAGACATTTTCTAGTAAAAATGCTGGTTTGAAAATGTAAACAAAAAGTGGCAGAAATGGCTTGGGACTGAAGTGGAAAGCCCCTTCCAGGAAATTCATAATTGGGCTCCCCTCACTTCATTCTCCACTGACTCCCTTAAAATATTATCAACAGTTGACAACAATACCCATTATAGTACGTCCTATAAGTGACAGCGAAGTTGCCAGATGATCAGCTACTCAAGCCCCAAAGCCAGCAGGGCCTATCACATGTTCATATGTTCACAGCAAGCAAATCATATATTCCCCGGGATATTTGCAAAGGGGACTTGGAGATCAAATGATGCCTAGCACAAGATTTTGGGCTGAAGAACCTGTGGAATTGTAGCCACTCCACGGCTAAAATGTCCTGAGAGAGGATTCAAAACACAAGGTCGGTTTTGCTGAAGTTCCCATTTATTCCACTAGAAAAGTGCTATATAGGCTGGTTTGGACTTGGGCTACCTCCCTCCCCCAACTGAAAAGGCAGCAATTGGGGGTGTTCACATGTCACAGCAAATGGGTTCACGGCATAACCACCCTGTATTTATTGTCAAATGCCTCTGAAAAGCAATCTAAATGCAGATCACTTTTCAAAACTGGAGCAATCTTGCTGCACATCTAAACGTAGCCTAAAAGAAAAGTAGACTGATTCCAAATGTTTCTGTGAATCAGACTATTTCCTATTTTACACAGTAGTCACACACTGCACCAAATCACATTTAAACACAGCAAAGTGCAGTCACAGACAATCGGGGATTTCAGATAAAAAACTGAACTGCTGAAAAAAAAAAAGTAGGTAGAATATAGATTAAAATGCTACACCAGAAATGATGCCAAAATAGCAGCACATTCTATTGAGTCCTTTCTAAACACACCCATTTTTCTCCACTTCACCCAGCTCAACGTTCAGCTCAAGAGCTCCCTCAAGTGGAAAACTACAGTCTCAGCGCATGTTCAGTGAATGGACGGAGGAGTTGCTCCTGTGTGGTTCCAACTTCCTTTCAGATTCAAAAGTGATCTTCTTAGAAAAGGGGCCAGGTAAGATATAAATGAAGTCTGTCCCAAATATGGGAGAAGCAACGAAACCTTTAGTTCCACTGCTATCCTGCACTCGGACCCTGGATTCAAATAACCAGGATTCTACAATCATGTTTGCTGGTTTACATGGGTGTTCTAGTGTTAAAACCAAAGTCTTGAAACTAGAGTTGGGCTTTAAAGTGTATGTAAACCCTAGCAATGAACTTTTTTTATTTGTTCCTTTTTGGTCTGTTAAATATGACATTAAAAGCATTATCTGTGCAAAAAAAGAACTTTAGACCCTGCCAGAAATCTTGTGAGTTCACAACTTTCTGTATGCTCGACTATGCGGTTGTCTGATCAGTTACATTGTTTCCAGTTCTCTCTGAGAATCAAAATTGCACCCCCCACCCATGTTATGGAGATAAGGAGAGTTGTTATGTAGTCCTGTTATAGGGTGACAAAGCTACTCCTCCACACATACAGTAAATGAATGTTGTCACTGCAGGACAGGAAGTGTGTTAAAACAGGATCACCAGGTGAAAAATACAAAAAATGTCTGTGAAAAGAAAACAAATGCAGATACCATATCTAAGAACTAGCATGCCATAATATATTGCATTCTTCTTCTGTATACACAGACTTTTATATATATACTGTGTATATATATATACATATATATATATATATGTATGTATGTGTGTACACCCCTTTTGAAAAGTAAGATTTTAATCAATATCTCACAAGAACAATTTCTAAAATTTTGACAAGGCTGAGATTTATAGAACATTTGTTTAGCTCATTACATGAAAGTAAGATTAATAATATAACTTAGATTACAAAATCTTCAGTTTTACTCAAATTAGTTGATACAAAAATGAATGCACCCCACAACAAAAACTACTACATCTAGTATTTTGTATGACCTCCATGATTTGTATGGACAGCACCAAATCTTCTAGGCATGGAATGACCAAGTTGGCGACATATTGCAACATCTGGTACGACCTCTTTTAGAGCCTGGATGCTGGATGGAGAGTGATGCTCAACTTGTCTCTTTATTATTCCCCATAGGTGTTTGATTGGATTCAGATCAGGAGATATACTTGGCCACTGAATAACTGTCACGCTGTTCTTCTTCAGAAATACAACAATGGTCTTAGATGTGTGTTTTGGATCATAGTCATGTTGGAAAAGTGAAGGACAACCAAGGGCATGAAGTGATAGTAGCATCATCTCTTTCAATATAGACCCATACATCTGTGAATGTATGATATTATCAATGAAATGCAGCTCCCTGACACCAGTAGCACTCATGCAGCCCCACAGAAGGACATTGCCACCACCAATGTTCACTGTAGACACCATGCATTGTTCTTTGTACTCCTCACCTGTGCAACACCATACAGTTTTGAAGCCATCAGTTCCAAAAACATTTATCTTGGTCTCATCACTCCAGAGTACCCTGGCAAATTCTAGGCAGGCATTTTTGTGCATGAGCTTTAGGAGAGCCTTCCTTCGTGGATGACACCCATGCATGGCATTCCACTGCAGTGTAAGCCATATTGTGTCACAGGAAACAATCACCCCAGTTTGAGTTTTACTTATTTAGCTAACCGCAGTGAACTTGCATGGTGATTTTCTTCACCCCTTCTCATCAGAAGATGCTCCTGTCGAGGTGTTAACTACCGAGGAAGGCATGGAGGTCTCTGTGAGATGGTTGCAGTTCCATCTTTGTTACATTTTTGTATCACTTTTGCTACAGTATTCTGACTGATTAATAGCCTTGTAGCCTTCATCTTTCTTGTATAAAGAAATTATTTTCTTTCTCAGTGACATTTCTCTTCCATGTGGTGCCCTTGCTGACAGCATGAAATGGGAAGGGGTTTTCTTTGTTAAGTAACGCCCTTTTATAATCAACTGTCTGCTGGACGCCTGTTTAATGAATAATTAGACTCACCTGTAGTTGAATTCTTGTTAATTAGGATTTTGTTGTCTAAAATTTAGCTTTGCTCCTAAGACTTTCATTGGGGTGTATTCGTTTTTGCAACATGGTCTTGAATTAAAATGTAAGTGAAAATATTTATTTTGTATGCAAATCAACAAATCTTGTTTCCAATGAATGGCTCGCATTTGTGGGAGTATTTTGTAGTATAGTGTCCCATAGAAAATGTTGATTCTGAAAGGAAAGTAAAGGTTTTCTGGCAAATCTGTCAAGATGTACTCATTTATGCTGTGTGTGTATATATATATATATATATACATACATACATTCACTTATCCCCTTTCTTCCCCATTCTGATGCTTGGTTTGAACTTCAGCAAGTCATCTTGACTACGTGTAGATGCCTAAATGCATTGAGTTGCTGCCATGTGATTGGCTGATTAACAATTTGTGTTACCAAGTAATTGAACAGGTGTACCCAATAAAGTGGTCAGTGAGTGCATGTATGTGTGTATGTATATATATATATATATATATATATATATATATATATATATAAATTTATTCATTCAAGCCTTCAATCCCCCCTCCCCAGCCCCCAATATCCCCTGCAGCAGTAATTTTCTGATGCTATGAGGGTTAATACGAGCCGCTGGACCTTTTAACAGGTACTCATCAAAGGTGTTTTGCCCCCCTGCTTCATTAATAGTGGCTGTACTATAGTTTCTCTTAATGAAAAGCGCTCTATCTTCATTCAAAGTAGTCTTTTAATTACTGGAAGATTTAGTACAGCTTCTATAAATGTAGGAGGTGCGAAAAGGGTAAGGGTGGGAATAATCTGCACTTCTGACAAGTGCCTGTGACAGGTCCAGCAGCTCGTATTAACCCCCTCAGCACTGGAAGAATGCAGCTGCAAGGGTATGGGGGGCAAACAGAGGACTTCAGTTTTCAGTGAACAAAGCAGCCACCAGCAAGGGACACTTCTCGTTCAATGCATTCAATTTATGCACCGTCCCTTGTGCTGATAAAAAAAAAATGTAAGCTTTAATGATTCTCCTTGGTGGTAAGGTAATTGTTTCTTCATGAAAGCGAATATGTAATTATATGCAAGATATAACACTGTAAGCCCCAATGTGAACATGTACTGACATGAATAGTGAACATTCTCTCAACAAAGCCATGCATAAAATGTTGGCATGATATAAAAAAATATCCAAGACATTACTTAACCTGTGTTTCCTTTCTCCCAATAGATGGAAAACTGCAATGGGAAGAGGAAGCAAAAGTAAACAGATTGAAAAGTAATGAGGTATAATGTGCACTGTTTTTCGTTTTGATAAAACTCTTTTTTCTCAAGTTACCCTCGGGCTTAGCACGTTTCTGATAATGTGACTTATGTAAGGAGGTTCCACATTTTCTGCTTTATATGTCATAATCTGCCAGATTTATTTTACATCTTTGACCCCTCTTCTGGAATGTACACCAGAATGTGAAAATCTGAATACCATTTGTAAGATCCGCATTAGTTTTTACACATAACTGAACAAGCAGACAGATACAAGGGAGTTGATTTACTAGAGACAAATAGACTGTGCACTTTGCAAGTTCCTTAGTAAATGAAATGTGGTAAAGCTGCATTTTGTAAAGAATACCCAATCAGGTTCAGGCTCCATGCACACTAGCGTTTTTTAAGCTCCTAGAAGCTGTTATTAGCATTTTTATCTCTACTCCTAGAAGCTAGAGTTATCCTATGGGGTAGATTTACCAAAACTGGAGCACTCAGAATCTGGTTCAGCTGTGCATGGTAGCCAATCAGCTTCTAAATTCAGGTTGTTCAGTTAAGCTTTGGCAATAAAACCTGAAAGATGATTGGATTCTATGCAGAGCTGCACCAGATTTTGCACTCTCCAGTTTTAGTAAACAACCCCCTATGTGACCATGCACACTTCTTTAGGCCATTAACATTTTTTGAGCTTCAGCATCTAGGAGCAGAAAAAAAAAAATTTTTGTAGAGTGTTTTGGAGCATTTTTCCAGCAGAAACAAAACGCTAAATGCTCCTAAAACGCTACTAAAATATGCTATTACCAGCATTTTTTATCCAGCAGTTTTTGAACTTAAAAACCAAAAAAAAAAAAGGCTGGTGTGCATGGAGCTTCAAGGAAAGTGAAAAAGCATTTTGCTTACATATGATTGGATGATGGAAATCAGCAGAGCGTTACTAAGTTCTGGGGAAAATTAGTGTAACTGTCCTTGCAAAGTGCACAGTCTAGTTGCATTTAGTAAATCCACCCCAAAGACTTTAGAATGCATTGCTTACTGTCCAGTGATAAGCAAATGTTTATGTGGAATTAAACCTAAAAAAAAAAATGCTGACAGGTAGAATTTCTATGACAGAATGACCTCTATTGGTCTCCTCTCTCATAAGCCCTCCCCTGCCTGTCAGCGTTTTTGTACACCGAGACTCTCATGTGCACTGCAGTATACATTTACGGCCTCACTCTGCTGATGTGACTGCCATGTACATGTGCGGGAGGGAAGTCATCACAGAGAGTCCGAAACCCAAAAGGAAGATCGGGAGAAGATGGAAGCCCCTGTGATACCACAGGACTGGAGGAGATCAATCACTTAGAAGGTAAGGTCTGCCATAATGTGCTAATATGTTGTGCATACTAGAATATTATGGCATAAAGCTCTCGGCAGCCATTCTTTAATTTTTTTATGCAGAGGTTTAATTCCACTTTTAAAGAAAAACGCACCATATTCAGGCTAAGGATCCATGCACACTAGTGTTTTTTAAGCTAAAAAAAACGCTGGAAAAAATGCTGGATAAAATACGCTGGTAATAGCTTTTTTTAGTAGCATTTTAGTAAAGTTCAGAAGCATTTAAGAGCATTAGCATTTTATTAGCATTTTTGCAGTAAATGTAGAGGGACAAAAAGCTAGAAAAAAGTTGTTAGGAGCATTTTAGTAGCGTTTAGCAGCATTTGGGAGCGTTTTTTTTTTTCTGCTCCAAAAAACTCTACAAATTTTTAAATTTTCTGCTGCTAGACGTCAA